GTGCACACCTATCATTACAGTGGGCACGTACATCACACAGCACACACACCTCACACAGACATCACAAAGACATACGCTAAAATTCACTTTTTCTTTAAGCCTTTTACAACTTACTACACATCTTTAATTTAGCCTTTACTAACTTTCATATTTTAGCACAACCAGACATTTTATTTTAAGCAAAACTTTCCTTTTTTTTCCTCTTAAAAAATATACAAAACTTACTACCAGTCATTTTAATTATTCTTTTGAACTTTATGCCATGTTAAAACTTTTTTCCTTAAGATAATATTTTGTTCAGTAGTTTGGATATACTAAATTATTTTACGTGTTTATTACCTCAAAATGCCCTAATTTGATAACTGCAAATTTAAATACTGAATAATTATGGGAAGGGAACATGTTTATCCTAAACATTATATGAAAACCTTTGTTTAGGAATTGAACGAACCACAAACATTTAAGTTACGATTTTCCTTGTGTTAGAGCCTAGAAAATAAGCTGTTTGTTCCTTGCAGATAGGAGACAGCAGGGTACCCCCACAGAGGGAGTATTACTTCCTGAGCTGGTGTTGACCTTGAGGCAATAAGGTAATTCCCAATGACATACCAAACTCTTGCGGGGATCTTCCACGGTGACCCTAGGAGGGGAGAATGAGAATGGAAAGGACAGGAGACAAAGAGGCACAGAGACAAGTAGAGATTCCAATCAAATCTCGATTTTATTGCAAGCACTCACAGCATATAGACAGACACACAATGGGGAGGGAGTGGAGAGGAGAGGTATATAATCAGGGAGAATAACATCCTGTGATTTCCAGTAAGCTGAGAGTTATGTGGTCAACAGAAAAGTGGCAGGACGTTTCCAGTAAAACGAAACCTATCATCCCAGGGAAGGGGCAACATGTCCAAACATGTTCTTAGAGAATTACATAATGGCTTCAGCTCAGTTCATCTAATAGCTCCCAACACACAGAGTCTTGTGGAGGTTTCACTACAATTAAGTCGTCCTTCCACTAAGAGGATCAACAGCCTTATCTTCAAGATCGCCCAAAGCTGATAGAACACACAACTCCTCCTACGTGTCCGTTCTTAGGTTTCTTTATTTTGGGCTGAAATCTTTATCTTTTCTGCTCCTTCATTCATTTTGACCCCGCTGGGATTTCACACACAGCTTACAAATCATACTGATTCTCCAATCACTCATAGGTATTCATGACCGTGGACTGATAGAAATTCACCTATGACAATCTTCAAGCAAATTTACTGCATATTGTTACTCCATTAACTGGGCAACACCGTGTGGATTCTTTTATGTGTACAGAGCTGACTTGAGTGCGAAAAAGTTTTCCCACTTTGCTCCCATTAGTAAGGTTTGTTGGCTCTGTGAGTTCCTGCATGGTTACTTAGAGAAGT